AACACTTTCTTATATGTACTTTCATGGTCACATTTTAGACAAAAAATAAAATTCTTTGGTACAGTTTTCCTTGATATTTATTCAGCCGGTCTGTAAATTCTCTGATTTATATTTATTTATTTACTTACCGACGATATTAGGAACTCAGAATATATAGCGTCCAATGAGACGGTGATAGTAAATAATGAATTGGAAAGGATGTGGAAAGAAGAGGTTGTGGCTTAATTTAAGGTACTATCCCGGCATTTGTCTGGAGGGACTGAGAAAACACACGAAAACCCTCAGTCAGGATAGCCGGTCTCCTGGCCGTCTTAGAACCCAAAGTTTCATCTCAAGTTCACACTGAATCATACCCTGATCAGCTCAATCCAGTTTACATCTTAGCTTCCCTGTTTCTCAATTGTCCCTTTCATCTAAGCGTGTTTCTTGTTTCTCTGCGAACACTATATATATTTTCCACCTCAGCCTTCTTAATTTAATTTCGCTACGAATATTAGATGAATTACGAAGCTACTTACTGCCTCACATCGTGGGGCAGGCGCGAGAGTGCAGTAGGTTTTGAACGTGTCTGTTCTGATATTGATCACATAGTACGCAGGGGTAAATGAACCCCCGCTTTAGACAAGTGCAAGAGCCCTCGCCGTGGTAACGGGCCCATGTCTGCGAAGACACCTCCAGTACTTTCCGTACGAGGGAACTGCAAATTCCAAGCTCCACTTTTTGGGTTTCTTTTTGTTTACTGTTACCTGAGGCTTACTTCAGCAAACACGGAATTAAATTGACATCAGCGAGACGGCAGGGCGATAGGAGGTTGGGCAACCCTTTCCATGGCTCACACTTAACAGGAGCTTCTATAATATTATACAGTAATACCCCTCAAGTTGGACACCCCTTTATATTGGACACTTTTAATTGGAACCGGCGAATATCCTATAATTTTACATGTCCACAATACCCTATATTTTGGACACCCCTTTTGTTGTAAGTTGGACAGGTTCATGCACTTCGATGCTTTTCAGGGAAACTTTTTCCGTTATATATTTTGTTATTTTGAGTTTCTGACTGATGAATGCCTCCTCTCTGGAGGATTGTCTTATGGACATTGAACACATCATTGGAATGCATTGCAAGTGTTTAACTATTCTTTTGCTGAACCCGTAACTGGACTACAGTATTGCAGAAGACACAGTTTTAACTCCATCAGTACTGAGCTTGCATTTGAGTTCAGACTGTGTTAATAGAAATGGAATTTTTCTTTTTGCGATGGGGAAGCGAAAATTGGTGGAAATCTTCTCGAAATCAGCATTATGCAACTGACTCATGAGACACAATTAGAGAAGAACTTCGTTGATTTATTTTATTTATATTCATGACTATTTCTCTGTTGGTTGTGTACCTTAATATGAATAGTGGATAAAACTCACGCGTGGAAATCTAAAACAAAAATTCTGGACAATTAATTTTACAAGAAGCTGTCGAAAGACTCAAACGCCAAAGATATAAGACGTTATTTCAAGGACCCGAATCATGGACCCAGAAAAGTACGAATGACGTCTATAATGTGATGATGTGTGTGAAATACTTACTGTGACAATGATGGGCTTCAACGTTCTTGTTGAAATACATAAATTGTACATGTTGACAGGACTTTCAATACTTTATATGGTAGAAGCCTGAATCTACTTCACACTGAAGAGCTCTTCAGAAGGGGGCTGAAATCCTATTAGCGAAATCAATCCGGACCAATTCACTGTGAAGAGTAGACGTCATTGTTGATACTGGACGAGAATTCTGGCATGGACGCCTCGGTTCCTTCCTGGCGATGCTGGTGTGAGCAAAGCGATTGACACTTTCAAAATGACTAATGTCCAGCTGGATAAGGCATTGTGTAACCGAGTATGAACGAGGATGAATGAGTCTGTCTGTCTCTCCATCCGGAGTGTGTGTGTGTGTGGGGGGGGGGGGGGCCTTCTGAAGAATAAAAACATTGGTTTTTCGCGCGTTCTACACGAATTGGCTGCCACACTGGCCTTTGTCCACTGCAAGGAAAGCTGAGCAAAAACCACCATCCTTATGACTATAATAGTTGTCTCATTCTACTCAAACACTTTAACAAGGAGTGGGCTGAAAATACTGGGTTTATGAAGATGACTCTCCTTCAGGCACTCAACACTCTGAAAAGTTTCGTCCCTACATTATTATAATAACTTAATATTTAACAACTAGATGGCCGACCGCAAGGCATTCAGTTAGAGCTTGGAAAACAGTATATTTATTTCTAGTGGCAGTGCTTATATTCGGTTCAAATCTCGCCAGTGCTACCGACTGTTCAGAAAGGTCATTTTGTGCCTTCTCTCCAGGCGAGAAGAAATCCCAGAAACGAACCTACTGTCCCGAGACAGTTTAATACATTTTACTCTCTCACTGTTTAACAAAGATCCGTTTGAGATTATCCTCTCATCTATGCTTAGGTCTCATCTCTTTACGTTTTAGAACTAAAGGTTTAACGGATTTCTTATTTCTCCATGCGGGCCGTGTCTTCGTTCTTAATTTAATCATCCTAATAATAATAGGTGACTACACATTGAGAAGCTTTCACTATATATTTTCTTTTACATCCTGTTAATTCCCGCCTTCTCATTATTTTGTTTTCAAACATCCTTAATCTGTGTTGTAATCGCGATAGGATTCAGATTTATATCCTAATATTCCGGATCAGGGATAGCGTATTACTTCCGCAGTATGGACCTCAGGCTGGACACTTGATTCATCTCTACTCTAGTTTCATTACAGACTACAAATTCATGTTGTAGCTCTGGGTCCAATCACCGGCACTCGTAATGGCATGCCGCACTGTTGGAAATGTTTTGGTTATGAATGTCGGAAGAACTTTCTGGTCAAGTTAGGGTTATCTGGGGTGACTATCAAAACAGTGGAGCGCCTTGTTACTCAGACATCGGCTGTTCTCTGTACGAGTGAATCGAATTAAGATTCTATTACGAGGACCGCCCCTCCCCTCCCCTCCCCCCAAGCACCTTCGTCTTCAAAGTCAGACACAGGCGTATAAATTAAATTTACCCTCAACCTTCAGACGCATCGTGTTGTTAAACATAAAAGTGTCTCTTAATGTTCAGTTAAAACAACATCCCGTTTCCTTTTCCCAATACTGTAGATAAGGCACATCAGATAATTATTTTGCCAAGTATTCAAGCTATTTTCAAGCACACGCCGTGTTACTGCGAGGAAACGTATCAGCTACAAATGTTTAAAGACAAATTCTTTGGATATAAACGGGATATTACGTAACCAGAACATGCGATAGCCTGTAACCTAGGTGTAGGCCTGTTATAGATCGGCTAATATTGATTCTACCATTATTATTTGTAGTTTATTTAACGTCGCAGTTAGTAGTTCAGACTATAAGTCTGTAGCGTCGGATGCTAGGATAATTAAAGAACAGTGACTTGGAAGGATATGGAAGGAAGCGGTCGTCGCGTAATTCAAGTGGCTACCCCGTCATTTCTTACAGGGACAAAGGAAAACAGCGGCAAGTCTAAAGCATAGCCGTTCTCCGATCCGATATCAGAGTCTAGGAGCTTCAGAATACGAAGCAGAGTCCTAAAAATTCGGCCTCGATAAATATTTAATTCTGTAAATGAATGTGACAATGGTTTATTGGTTCATTATGGCCCATCGGTATTATTGAAAACTGTCCGTTGACTAAGGTATATCTGATTAGGCCTATATAACTTTTCGAGACTTGAAGCTACTCGGACGACAGGCAAGAAAATGGACAGAACTGAGGACAGCGGTCATATGGAACACGTAACAGACAGGATGGTAGGATTTAACTGGCTGTGGATCGGATCGGATGTTGAACCTGGCGTTCTGCTACCAGAGTTAATTAGTTGGCCAGTCGGTCAGTTCCTCACTTATCTCTGTCTGTCGAGATGGTTAATACAGCGGTAACGTGTCCTATTTGTATTGGAGACGTAAGCGTTTTGAATCTCGAGCATGGATCCTATTACGCTGGTGTAGTTTTACGGTTTATCATCGTCTCTCCGGGATGTTGCTTGCTGATAAACTAGACAGCGTTCTTCGAAAATGTTACCGGCCCTTCAACCCTGCAGTCCGTACAGCATATAACTAAGATGCAAAAAAATATTTCAGTGGTTATTCATAAAAGCCATGTACAACCAAGGTATAAATTGTGAGGGAATTTGAGACTGGATTTTCTCTAACCGCATGAAATAAATTCGGAGGCCATAACCCGATTTTCAATGACCATGTGGATTTGAAACTTTCTAACTTTAACGCAAACTGACACTGTTTTCCAAGACGAGGTAGAGACCACGGTAATTGCTAACAATTAGTAGTTCCTCAACTTCACCGTCTTGTTTCTACAGAACTTTGTTTTGTCCCTTCACTCCGTCATGATCTTTCACTTCAGCGGTCTCCTTAGTTGACCTCTTTATCTAATTGCTTTGTGAAGAAACGTGTAGTTGTGGTGTCATATCAGCTGTCCAGCACACTGCTTTAAATGAGGCTCACATAAACTTTTATTATTTCTACCAAAGGTTAATTATTTTACAGAGTTAAAAATAACAACATATATAATTATAACCTGCCCCCCCCCC